CTGCTTTCTACACATTGCTAGTCAGTTTCCCAACACCATTTATTGAACAGGGAATCCTTTCCCCATTGCTTTTTTTTTCAGCTTTGTCAAAGATCAGATGATTGTAGATGTGTGGTGTTGCTTCCAAGGCCTCTGTTCTGTTCCATTTGTCTATGTCTCTGTTTTGGTACCAGTAGCATGCAGTTTTGATTACTGTGGCCTTGTAGTATATTTTGAAGTCAGGCAGCGTGATACCTCTAGCTTTGTCTTTGTATTGTTTGTTTGTTTATGAGACAGTCTCATATTACTGATTGTTTGTTTGTTTGTTTGTAGATTTATTGTTTTTGAGATAAAGTCTCACTCTGTTGCCCAGGCTGGAGTCTAGTGGTGCGATCTCAGCTCACTGCACTCTCCACCTCCTGGTTTCAAGCAATTCTTTTGCTTCAGCTCTCTGAGTAGCTGGGACTATAGGCATGTGCCACCACGCCTGGCTAATTTTTTGTATTTTAGTAGAGACTGGGTTTCACTGTGTTTCCTAGCTCAGGCAGTCCTCCCGCCTTGGCCCACCAAAATGCTAGGATGACAGTCATGAGCCACCACGCCTGTTCTATTGTTTATTTTTAATTATCACAAACACATAACTTGAAATTTTCATTCTGAAATATATTTAAATATTCAGTTAATCATGCCAACCAAACTGACATTGTTACACAACATATCTCTAGAATGTTTTCATCTTGCAAAACTAAAACTCAGTACACGTTAAATTACTACCCATTTCCCCCACTGCCTGGCCCTCTACAAACACTACTGTTTTTTCTGTGTCTAATATTGCAACTGATTTAGATATCTCACATAAATGGATTAATACAGTCTGTGTCTTTCTGTGGGTAGCTTATTTTGTTTTGCATAATACCATCGTGATGTATCTTTATTATAGCTGTTAGAATATTTTCTGCTTTAAAAAAAACAAGTAATATGCTGTTATTTTTATATTCCATGTTATATTTATCCATTCATTTGTGGAGGGAAATTCGGGTTGTTCTAATCTATTGGCACTCATTAATAATGCTGTAATCAGTATGGGTGAGCAATAGCACTTCATGTGCTTCATGTGACCATGCATATGAGAGTTTATGTTTGTGCTGCATTATGTTTTATGGGTATAGTTGTTCACCTATATGCCCATACTAGACTGTTTTAATATAGTTTATTATACTTGTTGAAACATTTCCTATTCTTTAAAAACTGAGTAACCTGCCATTATTTTTATATTCTAAATTATATTTATCCATTCATTTAGTGAGGTAATTTGTGTTGCTCTCACCTACTGGCTGTCATTAACAATGCTGTAATTGGTAGGAGTATGCAAATAACTATTCATGTGATCACATATGTGAAAGTTTATATTTGTGCTGCATTATATTTCATTGGTCTAGTTCATTTATGAACACATTTATGCTCATATTAAACTGTTTTAATTGCTGTAGGTTTGTAATTTGTTTTGAAATCAGGGACTGTGATACCTCCAACACTGTTCCCGTTTTTTTTGTTGTTGTTTTTGTTTTTGGGTTTTTTTTTTTTTTTTTTTGAGATGGAGTTTCCCGCTTGTTACCCAGGCTGGAGTGCAATGGTGCGATCTCGGCTCACCGCAACCTCCGCCTCCTGGGTTCAGGCAATTCTCCTGCCTCAGCCTCCTGAACAGCTGGGATTACAGGCACATGCCACTATGCTCAGCTAATTTTTTGTATTTTTAGTAGAGACGGGGTTTCACCATGTTGACCAGGATGGTCTCGATCTCTTGACCTCGTGATCCATCTGCCTCGGCCTCCCAAAGTGCTGGGATTACAGGCTTGAGCCACCGCACCCAGCCACTGTTCCCGTTTTTAAAGATGGTTGGCCACTTCAGTTTGTCTTGAAATTTTATGTGACTTTTGGGTTGTTGTTTCTATTTCTGCAAAAATGGAATGAGACTTTTAAAAGGAATTGCATTGAACCTGTAGATCACATTGGGCAGCGTCGGTGGGCATTTTCCCAATATTAATTATAGCAACTTTTGAACAAGAGAATGTTCAAGCGAGAGTTTCCATGTATTTGTGAATTTTTCACTGTTCTTCTAGTTATTGACTTACACATTCAGTCCATTTTGGTTACAAATAATCTGTAATTTTCTTAACATTTCAATTTTAAGAAACTTTTGACTTCTTTTTGTGGCCCAACAAGTGCCCTGTTGAAGAGAATTTTTATGAGCTATTGAGAAGGGCATGTAACCTCATGTCATTGAGGTGTGATTTCTATGCCTCCATAAGGCATAATTTTCCTATACTGCTCTCAATTCCTCTGCTTTCTTATCAACATTTATTATTTTATTATTCATTACTGAAAGATATTCAAATATTCTTTTACTTATCTGTTGCTTCAAATCTGTTCATATTTGCTTTATATATTTGAGAACCATGTGAGACGACAGACACACACACACATAAATAATGTGTATTATACACACATTTGTCATAGGTTCCAGTGAATGAACCCCTTACTTATTGTTTAATGTCCTTTATGCCTCTTGTGACTTTTGATTTAAAGTATATTTTATAAAATATGATAATTTTTAACTTAAAGTATATTTCTGGTAATATAATTTTGACCTCTCCTGATCTCATTTGATTGGTATCTGCAGAGGATGACTACTTCCATCCTTCCAGTTTTAGTCTCTTTTCATCATTTGATAGAACGTGACTCTTGTAGACAAGCACAGTTGGTTTTGTCTTCTAAATATTTTTATAAATATCTTTATTCAGTGTATGTCTTTTGATTTGGAAGTTTATTCAATCACTATTTAAATAAATTTGTGAAAAAGAAGTACTTACTATTGCTATTTTATTTTGATTTCTTTAGCTTTTTCTTCTTTGTTTTCCTTTGTGTCTTTTTGATATTTATGCTGATATGCTTTCACTGCTTCATTCTTTTCTTTTGTGTATTTATATAGGCATTTTCTCTGTGTATACTTTGGCGATTATATAAAACATAAAGTTACAATAGAATATTTTAATCGCATAAAAATGTAACTTGAGGTGCATACCAAAATTTTTCCTTGTTACATCTGGCCACAACTTCCATGTTACAGATGTTAATTGTATCTTATGTATCCATTGACAGATATTTATGATTATTTCTATGCTTTTATCTTTAAATTTTTAGAGAGTAATTAAAACTTTTGAGCATCATGATGCTAATGCTACAGAATTTTCTTTTGTGTATGTGCACATATTTTTTAGGTAATTACATGTTGTTTTCTAGTATAATTTTTTTTCAATGAAAGTGATTCTTTATGTTAGTTTTCATGTGTGTGTGTGTGTGTGTGTGTGTGTTTGTTTTTTGTGGTTTTTTTTGAGACAGAGTCTCACTCTGTTGCCAAGCATCAGGCTGGAGTGCAGTGGCGCAACCTTGGCTCACTGTAACTTCCACCTCCCTGGTTCAAGCAATTCTCCTGCTTCAGCCTCCCAGGTAGCTGGGACTACAGGTGCATGCCACCATGCCCAGCTAATTTTTTTTGTATTTTTATAGAGATGGGGTTTCACTATGTTGGCCAGGATGGTCTCGATCTCTTGACCTCATAAAGTGCTGGGATTACAGGCTTGAGCCACCTCACCCGGCCTATATTAGTTCTTGGAAGGCAGGTGTAGTTTCGATATACTTTTCAGCATTTGGTTTTCTAGGAAGACCTTTTTTTCATTTTGTAGGACAGTTTTGCTAGTTATCTTATCATTGCTTGAAAGTATTTTTCAGCAGTTTGACTGTATCTCACAATTCTCTTCTGGCCTGTAAGGTTTCTGTTGACAAAGTCAATGGTTGTGGGAGAACACTTAAAAAAGACACATCACTTTTCTCTTTCTGCTCTCAAGTTTCTCAGCTTGTCTGACTTTTAAAATTTTGGCTTGCACATGTGTCTTGTTATGGGTTTATTTGTATTGTAGTTGGAGTTTGTTGAGCTGCTTGATTTTTTCACATCTCTTTTTCTTACATTTGAGAATTTCTCAGTCATTTCTTTTTGTATTTTTTTCACCTCCAAATTTGTTTCTTTTACATTTTAACTTTTTGTTTATAATATCATTTTCCTGATTTTGTTTAGTTGTCTAGGTTTCCATTTCACTCACCAAACATTATTCAGGTTATTTGAATTTTTAAAATTAATTTATACATCTCCTGTTTTATAGTTTTTTTCTGTAATTTTTTTAAACTTTTTTGATTGGACCATGTTGTCCTGAAATTTTGCACGCATTATATTCCTTGATTGAGATTTGGACCATAAGAAAAAGCTACGTGTCACAATCTTTATAATGTGGCTTTATCCTTATGGAATCTGAAAGCAATTGTCTGGGCTAGAGATTCTGAAAGCCCCTCAAAACTGTGGTTAGTACGTGTCTGGATTCATATGATTGTTTTTCAGTTAAAGTCCATGTTTCTTCCTTAGAGTCTGCCATCATTTGCTGCACTTTCTAACTCTCTGTAGTGAAGTCTCTCTGCTGCTGTAACAATCATTTACCAGTGGTCTCAGCATACCCAAGCTGTCTTTCCAGTGTATACCACTATTTTTTTTCAGTAGTCTGTTACAGGAGACAGATCTCAAAGCCAGAAGTAAGTATATATTTGTGAAAGGCTTTCTCTTTTAAGGAAGAGGCAAGGTGATGGCAGTTTACTCCTAAATGAACCATGCTGTACTGAAGAGGAGGAAAGATTGCCTTGGGTAAATGTAATAAACTCCTTCCCCTTCTATGTAGCTTTTTGCATTGTCCTCAGCTGAGTACCTGGAAACACTAAACTCATTTATAGAGTTTCCAAACAGGCATTTTAGTCGGCATGTTTCTGTTACATATGTATGTCTATGAAGAAATTAGGGCCTATGGTATTTTGTTACACCATCTTGCAAATATACTTGATATAATTTTATATGTTAGACTTACATAGTGTATTTATCTAAGTCTAGTTTTGTGGTAATTTGTTATTTTTATTTTTTGCAGCTGTGCAGCCTCATTTCAAAGAAGAGCTTTGGCCAGAGAAAGGCCCAAAAGATTTATTGCAAAAAGCCCTACTGAGAAGACATAGAATACATGGATGTGGGAATTTACAATGCAGGAAAGGATGTAGAAGTGTGAGTAAGGTGCAGAAAGGGTGTTATAACAGACTTAACCAATCTTTGTCAACTACACCTAGTAAAATATTTAAGTTTAATAAATGTATAAAAGTCCTTAGTAAATTGTCAGATTTAAATACACATAAAATAAGACATACTGGAGAGAAGCCTTTCAGATGTAAAGAATGTGGCAAATTTTTTCCCATGTTGTCACTCCTGACTCAACATCAGAGAATCCATCCTAGAGAGAATTCCTACAAATGTGAAGAATGTGGCAAAGCCTTCAAATTGTCCTCAAACCTCATTGAACATGAGAGAATTCATACTGGAAAGGAACTCTACAAATGTGATGAATGTGGCAAAGCTTTTGTACAGTCTGCAAGCCTTATTATACATAAGAGAATTCATACTGGGGAGAAACCCTACAAATGTGATGAGTGTGGCAAAACCTTTAAGAGCATCTCATACCTGAAAAAACATAAGAGACTTCACACTGGGGAGAAACCCTACGAATGTGATGAGTGTGGCAAAACCTTTAAGATCATCTCATACCTGAAAAAACATAAGAGAGTTCACACTGGGGAGAAACCCTATGAATGTGAGGATTGTGGCAAAACCTTTAAATGGTTATCACCCTTTACTAGACATAAGAGAATTCACACTGGAGAGCAACCTTCCATTTGTAAAGAATGTGGCAAAGCCTTTACACAAGCCTCATGTCTTAATAGTCATAAGAAAATTCATACTGGAGAGAAACCCTACAAATGTGAAGAATGTGGCAAAGCCTTTACGTGGTGCTCAGGCCTTACTAGACATAAGAAGACTCACACTGGAGAGAAACCCTATAATTGTGAAGAATGTGGCAAAGCCTTTAAATATTCCACAAGTCTTAATCAGCATAAGAAAATTCATACTGGAGAGAAACCCTACAAATGTGAAGAATGTAGGAAAGCCTTTAAGTGTCATTCATCCCTTACTAAACATAAGAGAATTCATACTGGAGAGAAGCCCTACAAATGTGAAGAATGTGGCAAAGCCTATAGGTGCTCCTCAAACTTTCAAAAACATAAGTTAAGTCATACTGGAGAGAAACCCTACAAATGTGAGAATTGTGACAAAGCCTTTAGATGGTTCTCAAACCTTACTAGACATAAGATAATTCATACTAGAGAGAAACCTCACATTCCCAAGGAATGTGGCAAAGCCTTTAAACAGTCCTAACACCTTAATGGATGTAAGAATATTCACACTGGAGAGAATCCTTGTAGATGTGACGAATGTGGCAAAACCTTTAAGCGGCTCTCACACCTTACTAGACATAAGAGGACTCATACTGGAGAGAAACCCTATAATTGCGAAGAATGTGGCAAAGCCTTTAAATACTCCTCAGACCTTAATGAACATAAGAAAAGTCATACTGTAGACAAACCCTACAAATGTGAAGAATGTGGAAAAGCCTTTAAGTGTTGCTCATCTCTTATTGAACATAAGAGAATTCATACTGGAGAGAGACCCTACAGACATAAAGAATGTGATAAAATCTTTAACTGGGCCTCCAGCCTTCGAAAGCATATTATGATTCATACTGGCAGGAAATCTTACATATGTGAAGAATGTGGCAAAGCCTTTCAGTCTTTCTCAAGCCTTTATAATCATAAGGGACTTCATACTTGAGAGAAACTCTACAAACCTCAAAAATGTGACAAATTTTAATCCAGAACTCAAACTCTTCTAAACATAAATCATAATGGAGAGGAATCATTATAGAAATGTGATAAATGTTACATAGCCTCTAAATGGTTGTTACATATTACTGTACAAAGGAGCATTCATACTGGAGAGTGCCCCTACCAATACAAAGAAAGGGATATTGCATTTAGCCAGTACTCACACCTTGTAGTACATGAAAGCAGTTACACTTGAGAAATATTGTACAAATATAAAGAATGTGGCAAAGCCTTCAACATCTGCTTAAATCCCACTCAACTTTAAATAATTCATACTTGATTAAAGCTTTATACATGTAACTCGGACATTTTAGAAAATACAAGCCTTTAAAGTAAATGAGAATATTGATTCTGAAGATAAACGTTAAAACTATAAAGAGGGTGCAATCATTTTACTTTGATCACAGATTTTATTTTACACATATTTTATGCCAGAAGAAAACCCTGAGGAAGCTTCTAAAACTTTGTTAAACAACAGAAAATTTGCATTGGAGAGAAACCCTACAAATGTAATGAATGTGGAAAAACATTTGTTCCAAAACTACAGCTTAGACGAATGAAAAATACAGCTCAGACAGATGAAATACCCACATTCCCACATTCGACAAAATCAGAGTGTTCTGTATAGAAAATAATCCAAAGCTAAAACTGTTATATAAATTAATTTTAAAAGGAGATTAATTTTGAAAAGATATATCTACATTCAAAGTATATTCTTTTTTCATTGAAGTTTCGAATTTTCCATTGAATATTAGAATTTTTGAAAGGCATATATTGATCCAATTCAGCTTTCAGATACCTTCATGCTTTCCCTTTATTCCTGTTATTCATATAAAAACACTGAACCAACAACTGTTGCCACACTGGAGCTATGAGAGGTTATCTTGTATTAGGTGGGCACCATTCATGAACTATGCCATGGATGAGGGACTACACTGAAATCCAAGATCCATGATGAAAATCTAAGTGGAGAAGTTCTTTTTGGTTGATGTAAGCCTTGTAAGGGATGCATGAGGTAGATGGTCAGAGTAACATTTATCTGCATTTTAATGAGAAGGAAACATTTCACATTTTTGTAGTAAATTGTTTTACCAATTGCAGTTTTATGTGATACACTGCAGTTAGTGTGGAGACACTTTTTTTGAGATTATTTGTGAACTTAATTTGTTTTGAATTAAAAGTTTCTTTAATGTATTATGACTACAAGGCATGTAATGAAGTGTTATCTGGCCACCAACATTAAACTGTCCTATCTTACTCAAAGGTGCAAAAGACGATAACAATATATTATTTGGTTACACAGAGAAGTGATATCTCCAGTAATCCCAGTTGCCAGTGGTTTTAAATTACAAAGAACTTGAAGAATATTGCTCCCATAGGTTGTATTTGTATTTAAAGGTAAAGTTATTTTGAATTTTTGTGAGTATGTAGTTGATGTATATATTTATGAGCATATGAATCAGACTGTTCTGTATATTTTGTTATAGTCATTTTGATATATTTTGAGGTATATTTTGATATAGTCATTCCATGTGTACTAATCTCATCAGAGTAAAGGAGATATGTATCACCTCAAGCATTTACTCTTTGTGTTACAAACAATTCAGTTATACTTGTTATTTTTTAAATATACAACTAAATTTTTGTTGACTACAGGGTTACTATGATCATAATGAAAATAGTTCAATTAAAATCTATGTATTTTTGAATCCTGAATATTAACAAAATTTGTAGTGTATTTTTATTTGAACATGTGTCCTCTCTGCCTAAAAACATATACACATATACAGACTTTTAGTTTTGATTTATATAGAGTTAAATGTACAAACACGTAACTCTAAATATAATCTTTAGATATAAGAGAATTATGAGGCAAGTAATTGTGCTCATGTGCATGTGTGTTTACCTATTTTGAAAAGAAAAGAATAATGAAAGAAAACAGTTTTCATAGCATTGATAATTTACTAGAAAACTAATGGTATGAATTGTTCATGTGTCCCCAGCCAAATCTCATGTCTAATTGTAATCCCCAGTGTTGAAGGAGGGGCTTTGTGGGAGATGATTTGTTGAATCATGGGGACTTTGTTCACCTTGCTCTTCTCATGATAGTGAGTGAGTGCTCATGAGATCTTTTCAAAAAATGTGCAGTGCTCACACCTTCTCTTTCTCTTTTTCTTTCTCTCGCCCTGTACATTGTGCCTCCTTCCCCTTGCCTTCTGCCATAATTGTAAGTTTCCTAAGGCCTCCTAGACCATGTGTTCTGTACAGCCTGGGGAACTGTGAATCACTTAAACCTCTTTTCTTTATAAATTAGTCTGTCTCAGGTAGTTCTTTATAGCAATATGAAAACAGTCTAATACAACTAGCAACTTTAAAGATTCTCAGAGCAAATTTGTATTGTATGTTTTGTATTGCACTTATTTTCATAAAATATTATGGCTCATGATTCAGAATCTGCCCATACAAATTATCTGTCATTATTTCCATGCCACTCATGCTAGAATTATAATTTTTTTTCTGTAATATAATTGTTTAGTGAAGTATTCTTTATGTGGACTGGCCAGGGATTATAAAAACAATTTTTATGAAATTTAGAAGTGCACAAGAAAAAAATAATTTTTGGATGCAAATAACTCTACAATAATTGTATTAAGTTCTATTTCACTGTCTTATGAGCTACATGTGGACCATGAGCATTTCTATTAAAAACACAAATGAAAATATAAAATGTGGCTTAAAAGTATCAAAAGCAGAGAGGGAGAACCTCACAGCAAAGCTCCCGTCACAGCTGAGTGTACCCAGCAGTTGTTGCTGGGCTTTCCTGTGGGTGGACGGAGCTTGGGCTGTGGCCCTCTGCTGTTGCTCACTGCTGATGAGGGCAGAGAGCTGCTTGGTGTCTCAGGACTTCTGCCTAACAAGTCTTGGCTCTTCCAAGAGTTTCCCTCCAGTGGGGAAGTAATACTCCCAGCCTCATGTCCACCCCTCATGGGGAGCCATGCTCAGTGCCTGGGGATGAGGGCCCTGGGTCCACAAACTGGGAGTCCATCTGGCCTCTGCACATGGCTGCCTCCCAGACCCGCAATTGCTGGCAACCCTAGACCAGCCATTCTCAGCCAGGTTGCTATATAATGGTGGGCCCACATCACAGGGCTCAGGAGTCCCCCAGGACACAATTGTCCACCCACAGGACCCTGCCTCAAAGTCTCAGGTTCTCATGTAAGGAAGGATGATGAGGGGACAATCATGCCTTTGACTTGTCCTGTATCTAAACTGGGCACAGTTCCCTGTACTCCACATATGTTACCTCATCAAATAGGAACCCCATGCTGGATATAGCACAGGGAGGTTAAGCAACTTGCCCAAGGTCACACAGCCAGGAAATTGAGCAGTTGGGATTTGAACCTTATTCTCACCATCACCCGGTCTAGAGCCACCCCGGACACAGGCTTTTGTTGCCCCTGATGTGCTTGGCTCCTCTCTCTCTAACTTGGCAGGGCACCATCCTTGAAAGTCTTTGCCTTATCGTCATGAAATAATCTATATCAGTCCATTTGCACATTGCTATAAAGAACTACTGGAGACTGGGAAACTTATAAAGAGTTAATTGAGTCAGTTTTGCATGGCTGGGGAGGCCTCAGGAGACTTACAATCATGGCAGAAGGGGAAGCAGGCATGTCTTACATGGAAGCAGTGAGAGAGAGTGAATGTGTGCAGGAGGAACTGTCAAACACTTATAAAACCATCAGTTCTCATGAGAACTCACTATCATGAAAACAGCATGGGGGAAACTTCATCCATGATCCAGTCACCTCCCACTAGGTCCTGCCCTGGACACATGGGGTCATGGGGTTTACAATTCAATATGAGGTTTGGGTGGAGTCACAGAGCGAAATCTTATCACCACCCAAAGATGTTGACTCTCATTCTGGCTGTTAGCAATTAAAATGGCTGCGGGCACTGGCCTGGCCTCTCTCCCTGGCTCTGAGGGACCATTGAGCCTTGAGTTCAGAATTGGATCAGCCATAAGTGCTGGGTTGGCCATGGAACAGAGGGTGTTGACCTCTTGGGCTCCTCCATGGGACCACAGGTCTCCAGGGGCCAGCAGGAGAGTGATCCAGGCCCTGGCAGGAGGAGACCCACCAGTATGCAGCTCTATCACCAGTGAAAGTCTGTCTCCAGCAGGAGCTTGCTGGCCTTGCTGCAGTCTCCGAGGGCCTCAGTTTGTCCAGGATGTGCATCACCACAATCCTTAGGACACCAATGATGGAAACCAATTATTTTGATTTGGTGGCGCAATTCCAACCTCAGGGGAAAATGTGATCAATATGGAGAGGGCTTGATAATAAAATCCACACATCCATGTTTGCATGCAAGTGTATGACACCCTGCACAATATCTACATGAAGCTACGAGAAGAAAATTGGCTATTTCCTGAGGGCTTGTTGTGGTTGCCACATCCTCTCAGCCCTTCTACCCCCACATGGTGATATGCAGCATCTCATGGCTTATGCTGGGTTGCACTGGGCTTTTGAGTGGAGACAACTGATTATGTAGGCACCTTGGGCCTCCCCACACTGGAGTTCTTTAACCTTATTTTAGAAGATAAAAGCAACCCATGACATAAATAAATGCTTGTTACTTTAAAAAGTCAATGCACATTTTTATGAATAAATCCACACATCAGTACACTGCTCTTTGTCAAGCACATGTACCATCTCGTTGCCAGTTGCCCCTGTTCAGAGAGGTGAGCTGCATGGGATTTGTCTCCAGCGCAGGGACACCTAAAATTCATCAAGCTTGTCCAGTTCCCTCTTTATTCCTGTCCTTCAGGAGATAGGGTTCCTCCTCCCTACTTATTTAAGAGGATATCTGGCTGCTGGGGCCCTGTGCTGAGGGGTGCTGTGGGGCCATGGGACTCCTCTTTAGTGCTGGACACCCCCCTCCTTGCTCACCAGAATGAAAGCATTCAGGGGAATTTCCACTTGCAACCAGAAGAGGAGACTCCTTCATGGTCCTTCTAGGGATTCCCTCAGATGCCCTGTCCTACACTAGCCCCTGTAAGAGAGCAGACCCCAGGATACTGGTTGTTCCTGGACAGACATCCCTCTGTCCTGCACCAGGCTGGCTGTCTGCCCTTGACGGAAGCCTGGGGAACAGGGCCAGGTCAGAGTACCCAGGACTGCACAGCCTGCTCCCAAAAACAAGAACAACTGAGGGGCTCAGAGAGCTGGGGGGCTGACAGCTGAACACAGGCTGGAGTCTTAAGGACAGGATAACTAGTGATGCAGAATAATTATCCTGTCCTTAAGACTCCGGTAAAACTCTATTTAATTTCTTTCAAACAAGGCTGTGTGTGTGTGTGTGTGTGTGTGTGTGTGTGTGTGTCTGTGTGTGTGTGTGTGTGTTTTTGAGCATATGTGCAGATGTTAGTTTTCTGCATTTTGTGTTTTGCTTATAAACAAGACACATGGATTGCTCACAGCTCTGGAGGCTGGAAATCTGAGGTCAGAAGGCTGGGAGGGCCAGGTTTCAGTGATAGCTGCCCTCTGGTTTTGGATGGGCACCTTCTTACTGTGTCCTGATATGGTGGAAAGAGAGCTGTGTCATTGTTCTGTGTGTGAACAGATGTTAATGTACCCGAATGTATGGAAATGCATTCATGTGCATATGGATGTTAGTGTGAGTGTCAGTCCTGTACATGGCTGGGTATGTGCATATGTGAGTAAGCCTGGTCTGCATGTCTGTTAATGTGTCAGGTGTGTGTCACTGTTGTCAGTTAATGATGTGTGTGCATGTGTTGGTGTGTCATTTGTCAGGTGTGTATTAGTGTTGTCAATGAATGTGTGTGCATGTGTTAGTGTGTGTCAATGTATCAGGTTTGTGTCAGTGTTGTCAGCGAATGTGTGTTAGTGTGTCTGTGTCTATCACTGTGTGCTGTCAGTGAATGTGTGTGCATGTATGTGTGTTAGAGTGTGTGACGCTGTGTCAGGTGTGTGCCAGTGTTGTCAGTGAAGGTATGTGTCAGTTTTTTTTTTTCCTTTTTTTATTTTTTATTGCATTTTAGGTTTTGGGGTACATGAGCAGAGCATGCAAGACAGTTGCATAGGTACACACATGGCAATGTGTTTTGCTTCCTTTCTCCTCTTCACCCACATTTGGCATTTCTCCCCAGGTTATCCCTCCCCACCTCCCCCTCCCACTGGCCCTCCCCTTTTCCCCCGAATAGACCCCAGTGTTTAGTACTCCCCTCCCTGTGTCCATGTCTTCTCATTTTTCATCACCCACCTATGAGTGAGAATATGCGGTGTTTCATTTTCTGTTCTTGTGTCAGTTTGCTGAGGATGATGTTCTCCAGATTCATCCATGTCCCTACAAACGACACAAACTCATCATTTCTGATGGCTGCATAATATTCCATGGTGTATATGTGCCACATTTTTCCAATCCAGTCTATTATCAATGGGGATTTGGGTTGATTCCAGGTCTTTGCTATTGTAAACAGTGCTGCAATGAACATTCGTGTACATGTGTCCTTATAGTAGAACAATTTATAGTCTTTTGGATATATACCCAGTAATGAAATTGCTGGATAAAATGGAATTTCTATTTCTAAGGACTTGAGGAATCGCCACACTGTCTTACTCAATGGTTGAACTAATTTACACTCCCACCAACAGTGTAAAAGTGGTCCTTTTTCTCCAAATCCTCTCCAGCATCTGT